TGTTGAACGCATCTATCCCATCGAACTAGATATAAAAGATACAACAGATACAGTTAGGTCTGCCTCATATCTTGACTTACATCTAAAAATTGACAATGAGGGTCGGTTGAAAACAAAACTTTACGACAAAAGAGATGATTTCAGCCTCCCGATTGTGAACTTTCCATTTCTATGTAGCAACATTCCAGCAGCGCCTGTTGACGGAGTATATATCTCCCAATTGATACGATATTCCCGGGCTTGTATTTCCTATCATGGTTTCCTTGATAGAGGGTTGCTGCTCACAAGGAAGCTATTAAACCAAGAGTTCCAAATGATGAAGTTGAAATCATCCCTTCGTAAATTTTACTTACGCCATCACGAGTTGGTTGACCGTTATGGAATAACCGTTTCACAGATGATATCGGATATGTTCCTTATGTCGTAACTACAATCCCCTTCCCTTTTCACGAATGTGACCTACCAAATTAGACTATTTACCGGGTTTGTAATAACATGAGCAACACGACGGGTGCCACATGTGCAGCAGGATCTGCTTACCCTTCCGGAGTACCTGAGATCACCCCCAGTTGTTGGTGGGGTTCGTGTTGCTTAGTCTATAGTTTTCTATGTTGTGTCTTGTGTACTATTATTTGTCTGTTTGTCTTTTTCTTTGTTAACCATGGCGTTGTCACTTTATTGTCGATCTATGAATTTGACTGTCCCTCTGGAATCTTTTGCCCCTCTTCCATTATGTTGATATGAAGCTAGTAAAAGAAATAGACATATATAGTTTTCTGTTCTCGAAAATACGGTAGAACGTTCAAAGAAGCCTTGAATTGTTTTAAAAAAATGAAAACAACACGTTATAAATTTCATGCGTTCGAAGCGCTTTTCTGGATTAACCTTCATCAGGAACGCCGAATATTTGAAATCCAAGGATGTATAAGAACCGAAAACGTTGAAGAGCTATAAACCAAAAAGGACCTAAAAAAATAGCCAAATCCATCTAAGGCCAACTTTGCCTGAGGGAGTTGAAACCTTACTTTCTGTACAATTTCAAAATTTATAAGCGGGCAATTTTAGATAATTTGTTATAAATCATGTCAGGACCGAAGTACTGACTACTGAGCAGATGATACCCTCGAGGGACTGATAGTCCACCAGCAAAGGTATCGACTCAGTACTGTAAAAAAATTAAAACAACACGTTATAAATTTCATGCGTCCGAAGCGCTTTTCTGGATCTACCTTCATCAGGAACGCTCAAAGCCGAATATTTTAAAGCCAAGGATGTATAAGAACCAAAAACGTTGAAGAGCTATAAACCAAAAAGGACCTAAAAAAATAGCCAAATCCATCTAAGGCCAACTTTGCCTGAGGGAGTTGAAACCTTAGTTTCTGTATAATTTCAAAATTTATAAATGGGCAATATTAGATAATTTGTTATAAATCATGTCAGTAACAAAGTACTGACTACTGAGCTGATGATACCCTCGGGGACTGATAGTTTTAGTTATTCACATCTCAATAAGGTCAGTATAATCTGACCGTGTAAAACACACCGTGTAAATGCTAACAATTTTGAATTCCTATAAAGTTATCAAAAACAACTCAAAATACATATATCTTATTGGGGGCAATGTAAAATTTTTTACATTTTCTGCGTAGAAAAAAAACCAACGTGCTCGCCATAAAAATATGCTTATTTACAAAAAAAAATATTTTGGCTGTAATTTCATTCCAATATTCACTTTTCTAGGTATAAAGATGTTTATGTATATGTTTTACGTTTATGTCAATATTTGTTCAAGTTTTAAAGCACTTCTGGCACCTGTTACTTGCAGTACCAAGGTTATCCGTCTCAAATAATTTCAATACTTAAAATTTACACCATTATTGATCAATATTTACATTTCATTATCAGAGCACCATAAAAGTCTTCAGTTGTCGAAAATTGATAAACTTCTACTTTTTCTCTATTCATATACTGTTATTTTCTTATTAATATTGGTTACGACTTGTCCTTTAAAATAAACGTTCAAATAAACATGTTTACGAATGACATTGAATAACGCTGATACGAAAACTATGGAAGGAAAAAACCTTTTCTTTTTTATGGTATTTAAGTACATTTACTGTAAGAAATTGGACATGAAAAAACGTGAAAATATGACGTTCTATTGACATATATTATCTGATTTACTTAAACATTTTCTTTTTCTTTTAAATTTATACTGGTTTGGATATTGTTTTATGTCCTTTTTGGTTGTATAGCTCTTCAACTGTTTCGGTTGTTATACATCCTTGGTGTTCACATATTAGGCTTTGAGAGTTCTTGGTGAGGGTAAATCCAGGAAAAGAGCTTCAGACGCATGCAATTTATAAAAAGTGTTGTTTTCATTTTCTATAGAATTATAATAATGTCACAAATGTGTTGTGATCACACATTATTCGGAATTTCCAATGTTTAACTGGAATTGGAGAACTCCCTTGTACAAGAAACTAATATTGTATATTTTAGATTTTAGTATTCTATTTTTTTTTTATTGGTTTTCATTTGTGTTTTCGATGATGTTGTGTGCTAAATACCGTTTAAAAACCACCGGTTTGTAAAAGATGATTCATTGGTGATCAAGAACTTTTGCTTTGTAGACATTACTAATTTTGTGTGTTTTTAAAGATACATTGATCAACGTTTCATGTTAATTGTAGACTCTCATAAGACAGATGAACCCAAGCCTAAGATATTTTAAGAATGTCATCATTTAACTTACATGAAATATCAGATTCTTGAACTTACCCCACGTTATATGTTTCTATTATACAACTCTTTGTTCAAAGTAAATGTGATACTCTTTAAACTTATTAAACATTACTCATAGTGGTGGTCCTTTCTATTTCTCCACTATTCACTACCAACAAATTCATCAATGTATATTGCTGATATAGTTTTGAAATAGCAGATATAACTAAAAATATTGTGCATCAGGACAAAGACATATAACTTAAAGGACAATATAAGGGCTTTGGAGCTTAATATTGTTTTATTGTATGTTCTTCTATGTTATTCCACTGATAAATATTCTAGTTCAGTTGATCCTGTTACATGTTCCTGTGTTTCCCTAATTTGTAAACCTCGACAATGGTCGTGTTTGACTTTATCTTATGATATGTGAGGGGTACGTCAATATAATAATTTCATACTAAAACAGACAATTACAAGTTTTCATAAAGACAATTATAGGAATACGTAACAGGGAAATTCGGAAACAACTAGACTGTATAGGTTTTTTCTACCATAATTATTCTTGAAAACGGACAACTATGAGGGGTAAGTCAATATTACTTCAACCAAACAATACAAAAAAGACATTGTTTTTTTTCTTCTTTTTTTTATCGTAGGTGAGTTTGGTGGTGATAGCAGAATGTTGATGGTTTCAGATTTCCTATTGTCAACTCTCCTCCTTTTCAGTAGCAAAATATTCTCTTTCTAACTGAATGGTGTTTACATAGTGGCCAGTGCTAAATGTCGTTAAATGATAAATGTTGTCCCCTCTGTGCATTATCAGTTTGTAAATTTAATGAATGTATTATACTATAACAAAGGCTGTAACTCCCTTAAAGGGGCATTAACTGTCAAATTCATGTTCACCGATTTGCCTCAAATTCTCATATTTGATTTATAACATACGAAAACGTATATTCAAGTTACAAAAAGTCTAAAATAAACAATAACAATGCATGAACTCGATTATATATATTAGCATTTCGTGTGTATCTTAGTCTAGACTCCATCTAATTAACCCTCGAGATGACCTCTGAAGACTGTCGACGGTCATATAACCCGATATAAACATAAATACAAATACAAATAAAAAGCGACTACTGCAATTTGAATTTTTTTAGGTCTGTTTGATTTCATGTTATAGGTTAAACAAATGTGTTAATCATCGTTTTTACATTCATAGGATTATTTTTGTGTGGATCGAATCAGTCAACCAAATGGTTCACCCTTGTTTCACTTTCAATGTTGACATTCTTTTCCTTTTAATAGTTGAACACGTTTAGAACATGCGTAACCTATATATAGCTAATCGAATAAATTGAGGTTCATATGAATACGGATTCACATGAGATCGAATTATTTACTTGCAAGTCAATAATCCAACCAGCGATGTTTTCGAGCTTATTTTGACAAATTTGGGCCAAACTAACTCGTTATAACGAAATGTTATTTCAAAATTCCGCTTTTATAATTACATGAAACAAAATAAATTATATTTAATTTTTTTGTCTAAATCGTAACTAATGCTCCTTTAATCAAAGTTTACCGAAGGCGCTTTCAGCTGTTCTATTCGGCCACCTTTGAGTTTAATGCCATCAAACGGATTTTGCTTTTGGCTTTTCTAAGTTTTAGGTCTCTGGTGTATCTGATGAAGATTTACTCTCAGCTCAATGTTGTACACATTTATTATACTTTTAAACTAAATCTCCAAAATATTAGTCAAACCTTAATTAATTTCATAACAGAAAAACATTTGGTCTAATTTCATTAAAAGATAGAAAGTAAACATTAAGCAAGATACCAGCATTATTTTGCTGTCTAAAGGTCAACAAATTATCTTGAAATAAAATCAGATTCCATCCTGTCTATATCATACAATGAGCTTAAACGGATTATCTAAACCATCTTGATTGCATTTGTTTCTTATATATTGCTTAAATAGGTTCTTATTGTGTATTTAATTGTTTTATACGTTGTTTTCGTACAAATTTAAAGGTACTGTTAAAACCATCAAGGTGATTGCTCACAAAAAAAATATTTCGAATTGTAAACATAAAACGTATTGACGCAATTATGGTATAACGTATTGTTTATTTTTCTTATGGGTATTCATTGATAAAAATCATTTGAAATTCGAATAAAGCAATGTTTTTGTAAATTTATATAAAAACAAAGCTAAGTTAAGATGTACTCTTCAGTTGTTATATCTACATTTGTAACACAGGCAGGATGTTTTCATGGCCTTTGTTGTTGTTGTTGTTGTTTTTTCTCTTCAAAATGGTGAATTTGGACCAATGTGTTTGTAATAATGGCAGGCACTGCTTCTCACCATTTTATGTCCCTTTGAAAATATATTAGAATAAACAGATCCTTTACATTACTGCAAATTGTTCCTTCCACTATGTGTCTCCGGGAATAACAAGGACTAGGCAGGTAAGTACTGCACATAGTAAATATACAAAAATACCCATGCATTAAACGAACACTCGTAAAAAATTGATAAATCAGAAAATACATTAACTCATATTTAACATATGGAATAGCATATTGAAAACAGTATAAAAGGAGCAATCAAATTGTTTGTCAGAGAAAGTTGAAAGTGTTTTCAGTACAAATACATGATCAATCAAGTAACTGACAATCTCAATCATGTATCTTTTAATGAATGTAAAGATTCTAATACTATATATCGTTTTAAATAGAAGATGAATAATAATATCTAGGTTTTAATTTCATTAATACATGCAATGTATGATTGAACCTTCATTTCATCAATAATAGATGTAAAAATATAACGATATGTTATAGTGCATTCACATTTATGAATTGATTTTATTATACAATTAATTTTTATTGATAGAAAGAGTAGTAAAAAGTCAAAGCCGGGAGACATTTAATTGTTTCGACTTTGTATCTCATTAATTAAAAATGAAGACCATGAGTTTAGCATTTGAAACTATCATATTGATCAAACGTAGATCTAAACAATATTACTATACTTCATGTCAAAATGCCAGATTGACTAATACGAGGGAGACAATTTACTCTATTCCATGGCAAATACTCTATTACCCTTCACGGAGACGCTTGCTCAAGTGTGCGCTTTAATAAATACGGATGATTGTTATGTACAAGTAGGTCAAAGTTTACTACTTTGAATTTGAAATTTAATAGACAGTAATAACAGAACTTCAGTATAATAAATTAAATAACACATATCTGAGAGGGTGATGAGCAGAGATTGTTACCCCTCGAAAAGACATTGTCAACCTTGGTTTCGCCTCAGTTGACAATGTTTTCTTGGGGTAACAATCTGCTCTATCGCCCTCTTAGCTATGTGTTATTTATACAATGTCAACGCCTTAGTAGAGGCTAAAAAAAACTCATCAAATATATCAGGCTTTGAATTTGTTACGCAAGACGCGCTTTTCGTCTAAATATGATTCAAAACAGTCGGAAGGTCAAATCACGAACGAAATGAAGTGCACTGAAAAACCAACAATTCCACAATTGTTCCCAATACGACTAAATACATCTAAGCAGGGAATGGGGCGGAGTACGAAGTAATAGATAAAATCCTCCTCCACAGTTCCATTTATTTTCCTTGAGGAGAATCATAGTAAATAATATATGATTAGTATAACGCAATGAGCAATTAATATGTAAATAAAACTTATAACAGAACAGTGTAACGTTTGGATTTTCGGTGGTACCAAAATTATTTGTTTTTATAGTGATTAAGATTATTACACTATGTTGACTGCTGTACCCTAATTTTTGACATTTTTACCTATATGTCTGTTTGTTTTGCTCACACATTGTTGTCAATATGATGGAATGCTATATGACTGTCATACAAGTGAGAGGTTTAGCTAGCTATAAAACCAGGTTTAATCCACCATTTTCTACATAAGGAAATGTATGTACCAAGTCAGGAATATGACAGTTGTTTTCCATTCGTTTGATGTGTTTGAGCTTTTGATTTTGCCATTTGGCAAGGGACTTTCCGTTTTGAATTTTCCTTGGAGTTCGGTATTTTTGTTATTCTACTTTTTATCAAAACAATTTTTGTCCAAAAACGCTACTTGAAACCTTTACTTCAAGGGTCACATTTACTGAACCTAAAACTAAAACTAAAATTTGTTTAAATGACGAACATTAAAGTCACAAATGTAAGAAATTGTTTAAATTTTTCAAAATTCTATAATTATGGTAGTGGACAAAGAGTAAGCTTTGATCATTTTGTCTCTATGTACACCTACGTATTCATTATGCTCTGAATTATGTGTATTGTTCCTGCACGGTGGCAATACTCAAGATGATAACGTTTTTGTGATATTTCATTTGATGGGTGGTACGTGTACTTAGTTATCCGCTCTACTGGATTGTAATTCTATACTTTTTATAGACACATTATAACTTGAAAGGCGTATTAATATAAAATTGAAATGTCACGAATTTAAATTTAATGATCCACAAAAATCCAAATACGAAGTACTTAATCTAAAAAAAGCGATAAAAATGAAAAATAAAAAATATTGGAAAATTAGTTTCAATAAATTATGAGCCTGAATTTTGTGCGTCCGAAGCGCTTTTCAGTGCTAACCTTCAGTAGGAATGCTAAAATCTAAACATTAGAAAGTCAGGGATGTGTGAATAGGCTGCAACGTAATTTATGATGAAATGCGAATTTGCTAGATATATGGTAATATAGGTGGTGAAACATGACTGTGAAGGGGAAGGGAGCTGAGGGCAGAAAATTAATGATATGACAATTTCGTAGTTAACATTTTTTTTATCATTAATTTTTACATTCGTCATTTTACATGTAATACTAATTTGGAAATATGCAATTGTTCTAATCGTCCAAAATTTGAGACAAAAATAGCTACTAACAAATATTTAGCAAAACCAAATATTAATTTATTAATTATCTGATCTCCTCCGAAAAAAATCGAGAGATAAAAACAATTAGCAAGACAGAACAACACATTTCACGAATTGAACGACTTCGGTTCTGCTATGAAAATGCTCTAGTATTATAAACATCTTTATCACAATAAAATGAATAAAAGTATATGTGCCTTTTATTTAATGATAATGTTTACCTCCAGGGAGTTATGTAGGTGTTTATTATTTACTTATAATTGCAATGATAAAGGTAACTGTATAATGAGATATATATATAGGTCTTTACATCTTTATAATTTTATTTCAAAATTGAAAATGGATTTTTTTTAACGACAATTTATATTGTAGATTTATTGGCACCTAATATTTATGGTGTTCTTTTTTTTTTTGTACATGTCTTGCTTGAGGACTTTCGAGTAGACGTCACCTTCTTGTTAAGATATACTTTTTACAGTGGTGCGTTAAAGTTAATATGCACACAACTAATCAATTGAAATATGCTAAATTCTTCATTTGTTAGCATTTCCATGCGGCTACATTGTTGATCGGCAGGTCGGCAGAGTTCATTGTTTTCGATAGGAATAGCATATTGTGCTTATAAATCATTGACTTTCAAAAGTTTCAGCTTTGAGCGCTCCCGATGAAGGTTGTTCGCTTCGTACACAGACAATAACATCATAAGCTCAGAAGTCAGTGGTACGGTACAGACATGATTTATAACATACCTTTCTTAACTTCTCTATTAATAAATTGGTGAATTGTTATGAAACTAAGGTTCCAACTTCTTCAGTCAACGTTGACTTTAGATGAATTTGGCAATTATCTTTATGTTCCCTTTGGTCATATAGCTCCCAACGGGTTTCGTTACTTATATAAATTCTAACTTTCAAACTTTGGGTTGGAACGTTCATGGTGAAAATAGATCAAGAAAAGCGTTTTCGACGCATTTATTTATTAAGTGTTATTTAGTTTACAGGGAATTTTTTTCTATTTATATTTGCTCTTCAGCTTCGTAGTTGTTATGACTTTCCAACGATTTTAGTTTGAATTTAACTGATGAGTCTTATGTAGACGAAAAGTGCATTTGGTGTAACATATAATAAGCCTGGAATATTTGACGGGTATTTACAACCCTAGGTCTATGTCACTGCTGCTGGACGTTTCGTCCCAGGGTATCACAAGCCAAGTGCTCAGAACTACAGTTCTACTCCAGGCATAGATACTTTAGCCGTATTTAGCTCCTGATTTTCGGATTTTTTGGATTTCAAAGCTCTTTAACTTCGTACATGTTTTGGCTTTATTACTGTTTTGATTCGAGTTCCACTGATGAGTCTCATATATACGAAACACACGTATTGGGTACAAAATGATAGGCCTGGTATTTTTTATGAGTATTATCAAAGCATCAACGTCTATCGACAAGTGATAGGAGAAGATATAGCCTTTGTCCGGATAAAATGGAGAAAAAAAACATGTTTAGAAAAGTCTTCTCTAGTGCTAAGTTTACTTTAGACTGTTGAGACATCTAAATGCTTAAATAATAGTCTATGGCAGGATTCATCAAATTAGTTTATTGCTTACTATATTTACATAACCATAACAGTAATCATTGCAATAGTTAAAACGCTCGTAAAGAGTATATATATATGAGAAGGATCAATCTTAGTACATCTTTTAGAAAACGCTGAAAATATCCATAAAATACACATAAAACATAAAATGTTGTACGTTACATATTTTAACCAAACAAATGGTTATTCAAATTCATAAAGAGGTAGGAACAATTTCCCTAGAATTTGTTTCACGCTAGGGCCATTTCCAAAACTCTATACTAAACTTGACAATGTGAATACTGTATGTGTGTACATTGAGATTCTAACATTTTTTTTTGTGTATTTCTGAACAGATACTGGTAACCATATTAAAGATGGCTTTAAACAGCAGTTTTGGTAGATTTGGCAAGAAATATCGCTAGAAAGAATAAAGACATTGTTAACGAAAACCAAAAGTCTGTTTGAAGTAATGGTGTGTTTTGTCTTTCATATATACGTCAGTTCATGTTTATTAAGATTTGTTTTAGATGTAAAATTTTACAAACACATGTAAAATTTGCGATATTGCATCAAAACTGATTTCAAAAACAATTTATAGTACGAAACAACGTTTTGTCTTAATGGATAAGTGTTAATTTGTTACAAAAATCTTCAATCAATATTATTTCGGCTCTGTTAGATTCAAATCTCAGTAGATTTTGAAAAATTTCAGTTTTTTACCAGGTTAGTGCAATAAATGCACGAGAAATTGTCCCTACTACTTTTCACAACAAAAGAGCCTTCTTTAAACAAATTATTTTGGTAATTATTTCCTACCTTTATGCTTCATACGCACAATCCCTTATATTTGGTGTCAGTCAAACAGATTTATATTGGCTGTTAAATTGTGATGGAGTAAACCATGAGGCAACAAACAACAAACGTTGGGTTCAAAACCTTGAAAACTGGAAGTGTGCTAGTTCTATTGAGGGGTAAACTAAAATCATTTCCAATGTAACAGGTCCAGGAGGACAGTAGGAGTCATATGAAATCAAAACGTTTAGAGAATATCATATAGAACAATACTTTAGACAAACATAGGAATATAATTTAAACAATATTGATATGTATCCATACTTCATGAAGGTGTGCACCAATTTTGATAACATGTTTACATCATTTAACATTATATTTTAATATTCAATTACTTTTTAATTGTTAAACTTCGTACTAAAATAAACTGTTATTTCTAAATACATGTGTTATCATTTTCACCATGACATCTAGAACTCTCATGTATTTGATATCAAGGGTGCAACATAATCTTCATTCCATTTAACGAAAACTCAAGTGAAATACTGTGAGTTGAATATCAAATCTAAATAATAAAGCTGTATTTCTTTTCATTAATTTTTGTTTTTAATTTATTTTTGTAATTTTAAGATTTCGATCAAGGTTTACAAAGAAACAATGTGGTATGAAAACTAATTAGACAATAATCGAAAGCATGTAAGCAACTCTTAAGTCAACGACAAAATGTGAAACAATCTAAACGAGAAGTCAAACGACCTGGTCTATGCTAAAGCAATAATCGAAAAACCAAATAAAACAGACAACAACCATAGAACCTTGGGCTCCTAAAATGGGGAAGGAGTGAAAGAATATTGCAGAGCCAAACACGTATCTAAGTGCCCCTCCCAAACCTGGGAAAGAAAAGTAGTGCAACCGCACAACAACAAAACAAACAACTGTAAAACACAGCTGGAAAATGCTAGACTGATCAGATTGCCACGAATCACAAACAATTAACAAAACAGCAATATACAACAAATGTAACAATATAAGAGTACTCGCAATTACTAAAGGCTACTTTAAAACCAATTACAACTAGCACATCACATATAACACTATAAAGACTTCAACAAAAATTGATAAAAAAATCAGAGATGGAATGGTTAGCCGTCGAAGACCATCAACATCACCCAAGGAAAGGAGAACACGTAACTGGGTTTACGACAAACAAGACATAGCAGTGGTCAGTGGTCATGGTCACAGGAATGTGCGAAAATAAAAATATAGTAGGATTAAAAGGAAGAACGACTAAAATCTACATTAAACCAATTTTATGGTCACTATCATGAATAGAGATTCATGTATACTTCTTAATCATGAGCGACATGTTTTCGCACGTCTCAGATCTTAAAACTTCCGAAAAGTTGTATAAGGAATAATACATTAAGCAGCATTCAAGAAAGGGAACATTAACAAAAAGTATAGACATTCCCAAAACTAATAGTATCGGAGAAACAGATGAGGCATGAAAACATTTTTTATGTTATAAAGAAAACACGAAAACGAAAGGTTTAGATATTTAAACAAGCAATTAATGTAAATATATATAGAACTAGCATAGAACTAGTGTGGCACTACCAGTAACTAAAAAAATATATAAAATAACATAATAAATTTATCGCGTCCGAAGCGCTTTTTCTGGATTTACCTTGAACATGAACTATCAAACATTTGAACAAATATTTGAATGCCAAAACTCATGTCAGTACCGAAGCACTGGCTACATAGTACTTATATCTCCCAAGCAAATAGTATCAATATAAATTGATATAGTATTTACACACCTTCCAAGTTTATAATGAAAAGAAAAAAAACATAATGTACATGTATAAACAATTCAAATACAAAGACATCACTGACGATTTACATTGAAAAAAACACCTAAGTAGGAGTATTTAGCATATCATGCATGGCTAATTTTCTTCCCAAAAACTATTAAAAAAAACATATATATATATACCTACGTTTACTTATAATAGGAGATTTCAATCATCAAAATCTATTGACTAATAGTATTTAAGTAGATGCATATATTTCATGGAAAGTGACTTTTCCTATTCATTGGTAAAATAAATAAATTTTACTTTTCTTGAATTACACAATTGTAACTAGATTTATTGCAATGAACTAACATTACTAGACACACTGTCCATATAACGAAAAATTTGTTTGTAAACACTGGTTTTTTTTTTGCAACAAGGTAGACCAAGGTTCATAGATTAAACTTCAAATATACTTAGCATTAGATCAAACATTTCACAGAATAGGACAAAAGACATATATAGACCTTGTCAAATAATGTTTACAGAAAACCAATATATAATAATAATTGGGTAAGACGCTAAATTCTACAGACTTCGCTTCTCGAGTTTTGAAAAGGAAACTTGTAAAACTAGGCATATTCAAAAAAGCATTTAAAGGTGGATCATAGAACAAATCACGTATAGTCAAAAGTTTAAGTCCAAATTTTTACACATACAAATTTAAATGTTCATTTAATTTAACTATTTTCAAATAGGCAGATATATGAAGTATTAAACATGACGGGTGTCTCGTTAGGGAAAAGAAACTGCTTATCCTTCCGGAGTACCTGAGTGAATCCCTTTTTTAGATCTTAATTTTCAGAAGTCTGTGTGGTGTCTTGTGTGGACTGTTGTTGGTTTTTTTGTCTTTTCTGTATAACTATGGTACTTTATGTTTTTCGTCGATTTTATGTTGGTTTTTGTTGTTATTGTCCCTTCATATCTTTGCAACTTATTTTGAATTTTTCATAATTATATACGTTGTAATACAGAATGTTTCGCAATTGTTAGGATGATTATAAGAACTTAAGAAGAAATCACCTCATTTCGAAATTCATTTGAGTTAAAATAACATTATGAATAAAGAGGAATAACTCTACAAATCATAGCTATGCATTGAAAGCTGTAACAAAAACGAACAATTAAAAGTTTTCGTATAATAAATAGAAAATGTGGTTTGATTGACATTGAGACAGTTACCCTCCAGAGACCACAGAACGAAGATGAAAACATTTATAGGTCACAATATGCCTTAACCCATACTGTATAGGAAGCAATAAAAGGCCCGGCATGACAAAATGTGAAACAAATGAAAAAGAAAAACCAACAGGCTGATTTATGCTAAAAATAATAAAAATAAAACAAATACCGTAAATTGGGTTATTTTGGTGGTAGTTTTATTTTGGTTTATTTGGTGCCTCCAATGAAAGTGCCAAAATTAAACACACGAAAATAAAGCAAACACTAAAATTGAAACGCCAAAATCGCGTACCGGTACGACAATATCGTAATGTTAATTGTTGGGGAAAATATTTGATGTTATTATATCTTCCTTATATTTCGTGCAATTCTATACATAGCCAAATCTGCAAATAAATACCTGGTATAAATTTACTTAATTGTCAATTTTCTGAAATTGTTAAGAAAATATAGCATGAATTTTTATTCACACATGTCATAAATATGCCAGGCTATTGCTGATTAGACACCGTTATTGGTAATTAGAATATCAAAACTCCTTGTAATCCTTTATCTTCAATTAATTAACATGACTTTTGTACTGCCAGGGGCATAAGGATTAAAATTTAAATCCTTGACCGTCAATATATTAACATGTACTGCAATAGAGATGATTAAAATTTATTTCATATGATATTTGTTAAAAATAAACAATCTATTTAAAAGGTGATGTTAATGTTTAAGATTTGATTTCATAACTTCTTTAAGCTTTGAAACACGATATACGGAATTATTTGCAATTGCATCCGTATCCGATTCCGATTCCTTCATTAGGTTAACTTAGTCGTGTTTCTCGTTTGATAAATTCAATGATATGTTGTCAATAAACGAGTAAATAAAGACAAATATGAATGAGCTTGCTCACTACTGTTGTAACAAAATTAAAAATAACAATTGGACGAAGCACCAAAATTACACACACCAAAATAAAACACATGCCTTTCGAGAGAAAACCGCCAAAATATCCCGACGCCAAAATTTCCCAATTTACGGTATGGTAAACATCTACAAACGACAACAACTTAAATACAGACTTCTGACATAGAACAGGGATATGTAGAATGTGACCGGGTCAAACACGTTTGTGAGCTACCAAACGCTCTCCTAATATGGGAAGTTATGAATAACAGAATAACACAACATATATACAAACTGTAAAGACTCATCAAAGGTTCAAGGCGTATAATTAAGTATGCAAAAGAGAGGCAAAATATACCAAAGGCACATTCAAACTCATAAGTCGAAAATAAACTGACAACGCCATGGCTAAAAGAGAAAAAGACAAACAGACAAACAATAGTACACAAAGCACAACATAGAAAAGTAAAAACTGAACAACACGAACCCCAACAAAAAGTGGGGCTGATCTTAGGTGCTCCGGATTGGTAAGCAGATCATGCGCGTTCATCTACATGAGACTGTACAGTTGGGACTGAATCAAAACATTTAGAACGCCAAATCAGTAACGAAATTAAAAGCAGTGAAAACAAAAATTCCGAAAAGACGGAAAACTAGTGGAAAAGAAACTGCTTTCCAATCCAAAATGAGAAAGGAAGAGAAATTGTGCATTAATTAATATCACAAAGTTCCAAACAGGCACTTGAAAAATCCCAAAGCAAAAGAAAAAAGCGTGTTTTGCTGTCCTTCATCTCAAAGTCAGTGAGGCCTCCAGCGCAGAGAAAAAGCTCACACCATACTATTTTTTAATCTATTTTAGTGATTAGATGAACAGATTGAAATGAAAACGCATATCATAAAAATTCATTAAAACACAAATGTTTTATATATATATACTTTTTTTTGCATTTATTTTTACAACTGTCTCATGTGATTTTACCGACGGAACGGCGTACGTTTGTGAAATAATCATTGAAGTTCAATATTTCACCCTTAGTTCGTTGATTAAAGTTTTGACACCACTACAAAAACTGTGAACGACAGAGCTATTCTTCGACTTGAGAACTTGTGTTATCAATACTGCCGTGTGCGTTCATAATTTCTTACTGAACAAGTCGATCAAATTCGTCATGATCAGCAAATCAAGCTCCGTATTGTCATTACACCTGAATGAATGACCTCTTTCTCAGACAATCCGGTACCTCGATATGTATTAGATGGAAGGCATCCATTTGTATTATTTACCACGAAGTGATGTTTCAACGTCTTCACCTAGCCAGTAAATGGTGGAAAATATTTGGAAGCCTCTTTTTCTTGGATTTGATGACAGACAACAAGACATCTTCAAAGACTTCATTTACTTCGTCCTTGTTAAAAGATGAACACTCAACGTAAGCATCAATTCCATATTTATTCATTACACTTAAATGTTCTTCCTTTGACACAATATTATTCTCATTAAAATCATGAAGGTCTTTGCCAGTAGCTACTAAGATAACTGGTGTCTTTTTGCAAAGTTTTCTTATTTCTGGAATCCAGAATGTCTCGATACTTTCAAATGAGTCTCTGTCACTTAGATTATAACATAATATAAATACTTCTGATTCTTTATAGGATACTGTTCTTATATCTTTGTAATCATGCTGAAAAATAAAAATATAAAGGTCTTAAAAACAAAAGAATGACGTGTGTTGGCTCTTTTAGTAGTGTGTGTGTATTTTGCTAAAAGGTTCACATCAATGGAAAATCCATTTTTAATTTTTTGGAAGTATTTAAATCACTACTTTGTATTTAAGTGTCATTAGATTTAAAAAGGTCATTGAAACCTTGAGCACGTAGGTTTTTCCACGTAAAGTTTTTCCTTTAAATCCACAATTATCTAATGAAGATAGATCTTTTAATAAAGTGTTGCAAATGGAATTTGTTCCTAAATATTAATTAAAATGTATGGTGAATATAAGTAAATTTCGACATAATTTTTATCTTTATTTCCAAAAATTCGAAACTATGAGGACAATATTGAAGATATATACGGTGAACACATACATACATCGAGAGCTGTTAACTCGCTTAGGATAGCAAACAATGTCAATAATAGTCTTTTTTGTTTTAATTTCATTTACTGCCTTTGACAATTAAAAGTTCCTAAGACCTATCAGAGCTCGTGTTCATTTCATCTCTTTATTTGGCAATACCTTTCGGAATTTTAGGTTCCCAATGTTCCTCAACTTCGTACTTTAATTTGCAATTTTAACTTTTTTTTTTCTTCGAGAGTCACTGAAGTTTTTTTTAGACGGAACGTGCATCTAGTGTACAAAATTTTAAACATGATATCTATGATGAGTTTATTCTTATTTCTATTTACATTACTCAAATAAAAGAACTATTTATATAATCTTACCTGTCCAGAAGAGTCTATAATCCTGAGAGTATACTTGTCCCCCATAAACTGTGTATGTACGGAATACTCATTAGTTACTGTAGCTTCATAATCTTCTATAGTCAGGTCTCCAATAAATGTCTTACAGATCTGAGATTTCCCAACCATTCCATCTCCAACTATGGTACATGTTACGGCCCTATCACTTTTGTGCGAGATCATTGTTATTGAATTAGTTAAGTTTGCAGGTAAAACATGAAATGATTCTCTTTAAAACAACTGAGGTCTTTATATACCGACATCATCAGGTATTGACCCGGAAACATTAAACGAACAACCTTGAAATCTGGCAAAAACAGTATGTTGTTTCTTTATGTAAGTAATAAAAGATGTAAACAAGTTGATATCATTGATAAATTTTTTGGAAGTTTAAAAAAAAAGAAAGCACTAGTTTTTATTTTGAATATATATATTTTCTCTTCGGTAAATTACATTAAAGAGTAGAGGCTTAAAGTAAGACCAATTTCTTATCATGATATTTTTTATTTATTTTGTTAAATTTGCTTTAGTGTGTTACATTAAGGTTTTCTTGTATGCGTCTTACTAAAGGTTATAACTATATTAAATAATATCTATAGATGTTTATCAAGACATATATCTGTCAGATATAAAAAAAAATATATATATATATTTGTATTTCGTCTCATACTTGCTTTTAACCTTCAAACGTAATGCATTTAAGAAAAATGCAAATCTGCAATATTCCCTCACATTCTTTTTTAGATATGAGCAATAGCATTTAAAAATCTGTCGTGTAAAGGCTGTTGATGCAAGCTTTTTATAACAAAAAAAACAATAAGATATACAGCAACTTAAAGACAACCACTGGATTACAGGCTCCAGACTTGTGACAGGCACATATAGAGTGTGGCAGCGTTAAACATGTTTGCAGGTTCTAAACCCTCCCCCAAACCTGGGACAGTGGTGTAACAACACATCATAAGAACTATCAAAATCAGTTGAAAAGGTCTTTACTCATCAGATTGCTACAAAGGCCCAAACAAAACAACTAACAAAAACACTAAAGATACAAAGCACAAATCTGAGTTTACTCGAAGCTACTAAAAGCTATATCAAAGCCAATAAAAATTAAGATAAAAGTCATGTATTTAAGACTAAAATATCCATCAGCACGCATCCAACATCCAATGGATTTAGTGTAAAGACGTCACTAACAGTCAAAGTAAAACATAATCTTGTGCAATGCCAATGCTATCTATGTCAATAAGTCTTATCTACAGTTTCTTAAGAGTTTTTACTACTTTGCATCTTTTTCAGTCAAGAAATGTGGAACATATTCTTTCCGTTAACTTGGCGATATGGGTTTCTCCGTATCCCCATAATTCTTTATAAATGCTCCAAACTAATGGAAAATCCACTTTTGATTGCTTGGAAGTCTTTAAATTACTTCTATGTATTAAACGTACAATTTAATTATTTACAAAAGGTCTTTAGAAACCTTGAACACGAGTAACTTGATACTAGGCTTGGTTTTTTCACTTAAAGTTCCTCTTTTAAATCGACAAAGTCTTATCAAGGTTATAAAAAATATTATTTATAAAGATAGATCTTTTAATCAAGGGTTGCAATGAAATTTGTTCGTGCATCTTATTTCAGATTTATTTACCCTTTCAATATATTCTTCGATTTACGGTTTCTAATCAGTGCCTGGTATTCTTTATATATTTAATGTTATGTTGGGCTGGATTTTTTGTCTTGTTTCTTATACAAAAATAGATATTATAAACCAAACCAAATAGTAAGTCAGGATTTTCTGGAGTGCCCTTGCTGTTTTGGGTAATATGTACCACTAATCGAACGTAAACCTAATTCAAAGCAATATATATATATATATATATATATATAAGTCTAAATTGAAAACAACGTTCAAACCTATGATTGCGTTGGATAAAAACCGCAATTTTTATACGTGTGCATGCAAAACAAATTTCTTGTTACAGCACAAACAACGTTTTCCAAAAGACCAAAAAAGTGAAAAAGTATATTATAACAAAACGCATTTGACTAACAGGTCGAACAACAATTGTTCTTAAATCCATATATATATACTCAGAAAACCTACTAAGTAAACGAATAGAACATTTTTTTATAAAACATCTGAATCAAGAGTTTAACAAATATATAATTACATTGGATGTATGTTTCATTATTATACGTTAGTTTGATTGGCTAACAGCAATCTAGCGTCATTCTTCATTTCAAAATGAATTTCATGAATTGTAACATACATGATGACACACGTTTCCACAATAAAGTGCACAGGTAAATAAACAAAAAAAATGATAGTAGTCGTGTTTTCATGATCATAGCGAAAAAATGTAATTATAAGTATTGAATGCTTCTTTTAGTAATTTCATAGGGTTGTAAAAGCGTTGAACGTGCGTACATTATTAGAATGAAGCGCTTCCGCGCTTCATACAAAATGTACTTCGGTCAACGCTTTTACACCACAATGAATTTACAAAAAGAAGCATTCAATTCTTAAATAAACTAATAAATCAATTGTTCATTAGGATAATTAAACAATGCAATATTCAGTTCAGGACAATATTCAACTATGCTTGTATACCGTCAAAGTCATAAATATTCTACTTTTAGTAACAATAAGAGCACTGTTTACCACAAGCTCTCAATAGTTGATAATAGTATTGACATTTGTATGCGAGTTTTTGACTTCTATTTCTCAAACGCAAAACTTTTATGACGAATCTTTTACAATAAAAAAAACCTACAGTGTAGTACATCGTCAAAAAGTTCTATAATAGTACAAAGTCATCAATGATAGTATAGTACAAAACGCATTTCATTGATAAAAGTAGTGATTTGCAAAACTGTCATATTTCAAGCCAAAAAATTGAAGTTATATGTACCTTTAAAGGCATCAATGTCACTGTATAAGGAAAACGGAAATGCATTAAAATATATGTACCTAAAACATATTAACTAGATTGGCACATGCTTATTGTTCTTTTTGTTAATTCTTGATCTTTCAAAGGAATAGGAATTTTAATGACCGAATTCGACCCATTATATGAAAAATAAATTATTATTAAAAGCATCATTCTCATTTTACATGGTATATCAAAGTTTCAGATGGTTTTTACAATTATTCTTCCTGTCTGAATTCATAGTAAACTATGTTTTTATTTATTTTTCATAAAATTTTAGGACAAATATGGTCCCAAATGACTCCCTTTCTTTTCTGATATGATGGAAAATGGAAGTTCTTAAATCAAAAATTATAAAACTTGGAATAAAAATGGCACCCTTATGTTAATAAACCCCTCCTTTGAAAAGATAAGTATCAAGTTTTTTGTATGCTCTTCATAAAATGATGATAAAAAACGGGTTTAACATGCTTGTGAGCGCTCAACCCTTCCCCTAAAATATGACAGTTGTGTAACAGTACTGCAGAAGAACAAACTGTAAAATAAGTTGCCATTGGCTGAACTCAAAAGATCAGTACAAGACACAATAAAATGCTCCGCAGGGCGCAGCTTGATACGACCGCAGAGGTCGAACCCTGAACAGTTGGGGCAAGTATGGACACAACATTCAAGCTTGATACAGCTCTGAATTTGGATTGTGATTAAATATTTGACACAGCATAGGTTTCTGACACAGAATGAATGTGGTCTAAGAACTTAAAAATTTAAATTGGACATTCACCTATTATGGTCCAATATCCAAAATCTAAATACATGGTTAGATTCAGCATATCAAAGAACCCCAAGAATTCAATTTTTGATGAAATCAAACAAAGTTTAATTTTGGACCCTTTTGATCTCAATGTGAACAAAGTTGATAACGGGGCCCAAAAATCAAAAATCTAAATACATGGTTAGATTCAGCATATCAAAGAACCCCATATATTCAATTTTTGTTGAAATCAAACAAAAAAAAAGTTTAATTTTGGACCCCGATTTGGACCAACTTGAAAACTGGGCCCATAATCAAAAGTCTAAACACATGTTTACATTCAGCATATCAAAGAACCCTAAAAATTCAATTTTTGTTAAAATCAAACTAAGTTTAATTTTGGACCCTTTGGACCTTTATGTAGACCAATTTGAAAACGGAACCAAAAATTAAGAATCTAAATACACGGTTAGATTCGGCATATCAAAGAACCCCAATAATTCAATTTTTGATGAAATCAAACAAAGTTAAATTTTGGACCCTTTTGACCTCAATGTGGACCAATTTAAAAACGGGGCCCAAAATCCAAAAACTTAATACACGGTTATATTCAGCATATGAAAGAACCCCATATATTCAATTTTTGTTGAAATCAAACAAAGTTAAATTTTGGACCCCGATTTGGACCAACTTGAAAACTGGGCCCATAATCAAAAATCTAAATACATGGTTAGATTCAGCATATCAAAGAACCCCATATATTCAATTTTTGTTGAAATCAAATAAAGTTTAATTTTGGACCCTGATTTGGACCAACTTGAAAACTGGGCCCATAATCAAAAATCTAAATACATGGTTAGATTCAGCATATCAAAGAACCCCATATATTCAATTTTTGTTGAAATCAAACTAAGTTTAATTTTGGACCCTTTGGACCTTTATGTAGACCAATTTGAAAACGGAACCAAAAATTAAGAATCTAAATACACGGTTAGATTCGGCATATCACAGAACCCCAATAATTCAATTTTTGATGAAATCAAACAAAGTTAAATTTTGGACCCTTTGGACCTCAATGTGGACCAATTTAAAAACAGGGCCCAAAATCCAAAAACTTAATACATGGTTAGATTCAGCATATTAAAGAACCCCAAGAATTCAAGAATAAAACCCCATTGAAATTGATCAAGAAATAAGCAATTTATACAAAGTATATTCTTTTGCACAATACTGTGCAATTAAATATTTCTTGCTATTGCGCAATACTGTACAATTGACAATTTCTTGCTATTGCGCAATATTGTGCTATTGGATATTTCTTGCTATTGCGCAATACTGTGCAATTGAAGATTTCTTGCTATTGCGCAATACTGTGCAATTGAAGATTTCTTGCTATTGTGCAATACTGTGCAATTGAAAATTTCTTGCTATTGCACAATACTTATTGTATAATAATTTACACATCCTGTTTGGTGTGTATTTCCTACCATATCATTATTATTTGCTTTTAAATATAAATCAGAAATAACCAACTTAAAATGGAAAATTTTAAAAGAAAAAAAAAAGGAAAAAAAGAAAAAAAAAGAAACCCC